GAGTTAATTTAATTTGAAAACAAAAATTATGCATACCCTGAAGAAAATTTGAATAGATTCACTATTGTATTGAAAAATCTTTAATCTTGATTTAATTTCAAAGAGCAGCCGTTTATCCAAACACTATTGACTTACTTCCCATTAGACAATGTTAATAAAGAGTTGACTACGAAGACATACGAAGAATTAGTTTTCATGAGTATTTGAGGAGACGATTAGACTAAAGCAGCAAGATAAAATCCAAACTCAAATGAAATTCATTCATAATAGCTTGGATTTACTTGTGAATTCAACTGTGAAAATAATTTGATTCATTCTTTGATAGACATGTTAAATATCGAAGGGTTCATTGATAACTCTGTTGTATCAGTTTTTCTAATGTAGAAAAAGGATAGTAGACCTCCAATCACTGTTTGATTTTCATGAACTAAACAATTTTTAGAAAGTATCTTCGTCAAGTACAGTTTAATTCAATTGTGCGAAGAATAACACTCAAATCTAAAATATATGAATTTATTGGATTAAGAACGAACAAGATACCTGTGGCATACAAGTTTTCACATTGAGTTATCAATACTTGGAACCTGTTACCCGAAGCGTTAGTGTCCGCACCTTCAATTGTCTCATTCAAGAGAAGACTGGACACTCACAGAAGCATACTAGAAAAGGAATAGCATAGGTCGTAGGCCTTCTGTCCTTACTACACAAATCCGAAATTTGGATCTGAATGTTATATGACAGATCGGAAATGGCTGATTACTTAAAACAAGTATGTTAATATCTCAATATCATGATCTAACCAATGGTAATCAGATCTGATGGCAACTGTGATGTATTTTTTATCAGTCCGTTATAAACCAATGATTGAAATCCTTAAATTTGGTCGATTTGCAATATAACACTACAGAAATCAGGGTTCTTAATTGCTCTCTCGTTCCCAACTCTCTCTTCATTGAAACTGTGTGAACAGATAATTTTCTTTAATTACACTTAAAAAAAGAGCTATTTCCCCCCAATTTGTAATCAATATAAACATACCTTTCCCTCCCAACCAACGTTTTACAAATTCTCTGACAGTTTTGTTCAATATGCAGTGAAAATTTGATATAACTCAGCTATCCCATATATTGAACAGATCATATTATTTCAACCTATAATTTTCCAGATCAAGATTTCTCTTCAACCATCATTTGAAATTGAATGGAATAGAAACTGGTTCAGTATCTGAAGTAGTCTTACTAGTAATAACGGTTTTTGAAAACGATCTATGCTTTTCATTGTATAAAAACTTAGGTTATTATCCTTATCTACCATTCTAAAATGTAAATTTATTACTAATATTAAGTGCGTTGTTTGTCAGTTTAAAACTGAAATGGATATAGATAGATTTAAGTTGTCACATTTCACATTCAATAACATAGAAAGCATTGAATCTGGGACAATAATGATGGAGAGTAAACACCAATGAATCTGCCCTCATAAAGTTTCCTTTAATGACTGTACTTGAGTGAAAGATAATCTAAAGTACTAAACAATTGTTCACAAAATCACATTCGAATCAGTTAATTTTTTTTATATACATTAGTATAAGCTAAAATAAGCATGTCTAGGACTAAGTTAATACACTGGTCATTTCGTATGACCAAATTAGTTACCAGATATATTCAATATCCGCTACCTTTTACACTGGCCATTTTGATAATCACCCTTATTAGTGTCAACCATTTATTTATTTATTCATTTAAACACATAAGCATATGTACAAGGATGCACCAAATAGATATGCGCCACATAAATCATTCGATTTATGTGAGGGCTGATATAATACCTGGATGCCCAAACCAAAGCAGGTGGTTTTCTTAGAGGGCCACACTCCGAGCCTTCGACCTAAAAGTAGTGGCGAAACATCAGGAAATGCAGTCCCACGGTAGCTGGCGACCAACAATTTGTTCATACGCCATTTGCTTCCTTAGGATCCTGGAGCCCATGTGCACAACTTGTTTGAAATCAGGGTTTCTCAATTCCCCTAGGTGGATCATCCGTATCCACCGACCCGGTTAAAGCGTCGGACATTCGCATTTTGTTCTTTCGATTTCGTAAGCAAAACCCCCACCATGAGAAGGCAGTGAGTAGGACTTGTGTGGCAGTGGTTGTATGCATGTGGCCACTTGAGAGCATTTCGAGAGGAAGAGTTGACTCTCCCCACTCTCCGCCGTACCAGGGCGTTCGGGGGCCAGTGTAAACCATATTCAATTAGGTAAAACAAACATTTGCCTGAATGCCAAGAAAACCTAAAGATTTAATTCTCTGCATTAGAAAATGAGTTGCCTATATCTTACTAGCTTCGAGGATCGACTGAGACCAGGTAAATAATTTTTCCGAATATGGAATTCAACTATACTAATGTTTTATGATGCATACATAAGATATCAAGTCTGTTGTTTGTTGAATCGTCAAATTTTTCGACTGAATGTATAATTGTTAAGTAGTGGGATTCACTATATATAAACAATGACAGGTTTAAGGTCAACAAAAACCAATCAACATCGAGGTCTACAGGACAAGCAGTAAACCATACGTGGAGAAATTCGAACACTTCACTTCTACCTGAAGTTTCTACTGATGATGTTGTTCAGAAAAACATTGAAAGCTCCAAAACGAAACTCAGAGAACAAAACTTTAACAAAATCATCCACCTGAGCTATAAATCTTCTTCATCTCAACATTCACGTTTAAATGGCAACATACATTAAAATCTCAAAATTACATTATTATAGTATTCCTTCAGAATAGCATCCAGCCTGTACGTTCGTGTTACACCTACTATAATGTTAAATCTTGATAGACAACAAGTTAGAGATAAAAAATTGTAGTTTAAATTCACTTGGTGTTGTTTTTACTTGTATCTTCCCATTGTTATTTAGGACTGCAACTGATTAGTCTCTTTCTTATCGGCACATATGCATCATGTGCTGATTGGCTCGATATAGCCTTAATTCACAAGCCTTTTAAGCAAAGATGGATAGTGAATAGCAGTGGAATCTAGTCTGACGCGCGGTTCGTCCCATTCGGGACTTGTCGGCTGGGTGTACCTGCACCTCACAGTTGATGTTCACTACAGGACCCGAACCCAGTATCGTTCGCTTCAAACGCCATCACGTAATCCATTTAGCTACTGAGTTCTCATAGCCACCTGTTTGTGCAATGGGGTGAAGTTTAAATTCCAAGCTGGATGTATCTGGACGTATCCACCTGACGAGTCCCAAATAGGACAAAACGCTCGTCCTGGATTCCACTACTAGCCACTATCCATCTTTGCTTAAAAACTGTAGTTATTTAAAAGTTCACAAAATGGTTATTCTCTATAGTTTGTATTATCAAAAACAAAAATAAAATTAATAAAACTAGTTAATTAAGCGTAGGTTAAGATTATAATTGAAACTCAGTTAGTTTAGAAGTGTCCCTCTTCTTTTTGTAAACAACATAAAATTAACTTGTCATTCATATAAAGAATTTGAAAAATTTCATTGTAGTAATTCTCTATAAATATCCATTGTAATTTGCATATAAACCATGAAGTGTGTCGATGTATAAAATATGTAACTTACTTTTTCATTTTGTTTGTCGGTTAAATATGACCCATCATTTTTGTTTACTTCATTGTTCATATTGAATCTATTTGTCTGTGAAAACAAAAAAAGAAGAAAAAAAGTGTTTACTAGTTATATCAATAGTTGAGATTATTAGTCAATTAAAGACAGTCCATCATGGAAAACTTGGAAGTATCGGATGGCCGTTTCGTCCCAGTGTGGTACTCCTTATCAGTGTGCATCCAACATCTCACCGCCTCGCGAGGTTCTAACTTACGACCTATCAGTTTCACTCGTGAACGCTTAATCTCTAGATCATTGAGTCGGCCGGCATCCAACGGTGTTAATGTCTGACTTCAACTAATTCACAAAATCGATTGTCATATTCATCATTGTCATCAGTGAGTTACTATCTCACAACAGACTTGGTTGAACTCCACTAGTCACTGCTTCTCATTAGAACCCCAGGTAATACCTCTTGAAGTCAGTCACTACTGCGCATATAATGATCATAATCAGAAGGAGTTTTTATGGATATTATAGTAACTTCAATTACTAGTTACATAACATTTTCTAGCACAGTCATAGTATTGAATTAATTGGAAATAATCAAAAATATTAATACTTTTTTGAGTTAAAAAGTAACCATATTTTGGTCATTCCAGTTACTATACAAGTTGAATGATCAATGTTGTTTGACTATAAACAGTAGGAAACTAAAGATACCTGATACCTCTTAAAAGATCTATCATCTATCTTGATGATAAATATTGAATTATCACCAATTAGATATTAGCAGTTCACGAATCGAAATCTGAAAATCCAACATAATGTTTCTGACTATATATTTTTTTGTAAGCTGTACAGCGAAACATTGTAAACTTTTCAGAAATACGCCTAAATAGGTTGAAGATGCCACAGGTATTTGGAGTTTGACAACACTTTAATCAGTAACACCTTATAATATGAATCATACACACCTGGTGAAATCAAAAGTCACAAGCGACAAAGTTCGAAGATATAAATGATAGGCTATGAATATATCTAGAATCGACTAATCTAGAACATCTGGCGATTGCATGGGATGTTGAGCATGGCGTTCCCACTCGAGATCTAGTGTGGATACATGACCGAGCGCCATCAACTAGGTGAGTTCATTAAATATAATGTGGTCAGCATCCAATGTCAAAGACTTACAGAGCTACTGATTTTGTGGATTTATATACCACTACAAGGTTATGCAATTCTAAGCCATTATGATGTGTTAAAACAGATAAAAGATAAGTAACATGTTGAGATATGTTGGTATGAGATACAGGTAGCCCAGATATTTGAAAAAACAGGTCGCGAAAGTAGATTACATTACGGTTAGTATGAGAGCTAAATCAGGTACTAAATAAATGTAATTATTTATTCTGATGATGATGATGATGATGATGATGATGATGATGATGATGATGATGATGATGATGATGATGATGATGATGATGATGATGATGATGATGATGATGATGATGATGATGATGATGATGATGATGATGATGATGATGATGATGATGATGATGATGATGATGATGATGATGATGATGATGATGATGATGATGATGATGATGATGATGATGATGATGATGATGATGATGATGATGATGATGATGATTTGGATGATGATGATGATGATGATGATGATGATGATGATGATGATGATGATGATGATGATGATGATGATGATGATGATGATGATGATGATGATGATGATGATGATGATGATGATGATGATGATGATGATGATGATGATGATGATGATGATGATGATGATGATGATGATGATGATGATGATGATGATGATGATGATGATGATGATGATGATGATGATGATGATGATGATGATGATGATGATGATGATGATGATGATGATGATGATGATGATGATGATGATGATGATGATGATGATGATGATGATGATGATTTGAGTCTACACAAATTAGCTTTTTGTGTAGAAAAGATATGACTATTGAAAGTATTTGCGATGTCTTAACGATATATTATTTGTACCACATATTATGTACTTTTACCATTAGTCAGTTGTTTAAGTCAATGAAGTTTTATAATATCGTATCATAAAGCATAATAATTACCTGAACTCTTAACAAATAGATGTAACATGGAGTTGTCTATTAGCAAGTTAACAGTTTGTATAAACATGTATTGATTTAGGGGATTTCTTTATCGCTAAAGTACTAAGATTCATAGACAAAGAGAGAGAGTATTTAATCTTTAGCCAAAGTTATTTTAATCAACTAACAAAGACTGATAGGTCCTGAGTTAGAATCTCGCGAGGCGGCGGGATGTTGGATGTGCACTGCCATGGAGGAGTCCGACAATACAAAGGAATAGTCATCCAGTGCCCCCAGATTTTCCATCATGATGTAGCTTCAATTAATTAATTCATGATCTCAACTATTGAAATAACAAAGAATGATCATTCGTTGTCATGATAAATATTTTGAAAATTATAAACAATCTGAATTTTTAATTAACTTCAACTTTTAATAATAAAAATTAGGCAGAATATCTGAGAAATTGTCAACCAATTTTGTTTGTTACTGACCTGAATTTATTAACTTTTTTTTTTTTGTAAAATGTATTTTCATTCTTCTTAACCATGGCTATTATTGTTATTACTGTTATTATTGTTGACTAGAATACAATGTGAATGTAATTCAAATGAAAGAGAGAAGAACTGGAGGAGATTCTCATGATTGTACTTTATGTATTATGCATAATAAATGTAAAGTGTTAACAAGGTTAATGTGAAACAATCAACAACAACAACAACAACAACAAGAAAATCAACAAAAAGAAGCTTAAAACAAACAAAAGTAACAAATAAATTTATTTACACATGCATAAACATGTGAAATTTAAATTAAAATCAGGTTAATAATAACAACAATAATAATGGTGATGGTGATGATGATGATGATATAGTTAACAACTATCTCTTGTTGTATCATTTAAGGTCAATCGATCATGTGTAGAATTTGGTCTTAGAAATAAGAATAATTTTTTTAAAGTTTTTTTTCGCTCTTTTTTCTCTCTTTCTGAGCATAAGTGTAGTTCGACTACTGAACAAGATTTTTTCATGTAGAGGTCATTTAAATCGATATCATTTATTTGGTTGACAATATCAATGTTACAAGTAATAATGTTTAATTTTTGATGTTGTGTAAAAAGCTTTTTTTTCTTTTTTTTTGGTGTATTTTACTTGAAATGCACGGTGATTTGATTACGTGTGGTTTTAGAAAAAAAACTCGTCCTGGAGGCGCTCCGCGGCTACTGCTGATCTCAAGCCCGGATAAAGGAGGACGGTTGGGCATGGGGTGAGAGACCCCATCCCGTACAAAACCAACTATAAAAAATGCTAGCCAGAAAGAAATATTCAAACCATTTAAATTCTGCCTTGGGATTCAGAAGGTCTTCATTTAGAAGAGTTATGATTCGTCATGGTGAAAGCCAAGTTCCTTCAGAAGTCAAGAGGCTGATGACCCTTCTGATAGCCAGAGCAACCATTTATTTAGGTACATGGAATGCTCGTGCAATGTGGGAGACCGGGAGAGTCTTCGAGATTGCTGTTGAAATAATGAGGTACAACATGAAGGTGCTTGGAATCAGTGAAACACATTGGACGCAGGCTGAACAACAAAGACTAGCTCCAGAAGAGCTGTTGCTATACTCTGGTTATGAAGAAGAAGATGCCCCACATACACAAGGAGTTGCATTGATGCTATCCAAACATACACAAAAAGCACTTATAGTATGGGAATCTCATGAACCAAGGATCGTCAAAGCCTCCTTCAAACACAAAGAAAGAGGACATTATAATGAAGGTCAACCAATGATATGCACCTACCAACGATTACAATGAGGACGTTGAAGATCAATCCTTTAATAGGCTATAGTCGATCGTCGAAAAGTGCCCAACAAAGGACTTGACCATTCTGATGGTTGGAATGGACAACACCGGATATAAAGACATCATGGGACGACACGGACTGGGAGAAAGGAATGAAGATGGTGGGGGATTCGCAAACCTATGTGCCTTCAATAAACCGGTCATAGGCGGCACTATATTCCCACATAAACGCATACACAAAGCCACATGGACCTCACCGGATCACACTATGCAGAACCAACTTGACCACATCTGCATCAACAAAACGTTTAGGCGGACGATGGAGGATGTGGGAACCAAGAGAGGAGCGGATATATCATCAGATCATCACTTACTGGTCGCCAAGATGAAATCGAAACTCAAGAAGCACTGGACAACGAGGTAGACAATATCACAAAAGTTTAATACGGCTTTACTTCGGGATACTGACAAACTCAAAAAATTCAAAATAGCCCTCAGCTATATATTCCAGGCCTTTCACGATCTACTCAATGGAGAGCAACTGGGAAGCGATAAAAGAGGCAACCACTTCAACATGTCATGAGGTTCTGGGCCACAATAAGCACCATCACAAGGAATGAATCACTGTTGGTACACTGGATAAGATTCAAGAAACGAAGAATAAGAAGGCAGCAACCAATATCAGCCGAACAAGAACAGAGAAAGCCAAGGCACAAATTTAATACACAGAAGAAAACAAGCAGGTGGAGAGGAGCATCAGAACAGACAGACGTAATTATGAGGAAGATCTAGCAATGACGGCGGAAAAGGCTGCAAGATAAGGAGACATGAGACAATTGTATGACACAACAAAGCTCGCTGGGAATTATCGTAAACCAGAACGTGCAGTGAAAAGCAAGGGAAACATAGTAATCACCAACATTGAAGAATAGCGAAACAGGTGGGTAGAGCACTTCAAAGAACTCTTGAACCGATCAGCTCCACTAAACACACCCAACATCGATGCAGCACCCACGGACCTCCCAATCGATGTTGACCCAACAACAATTAAAGTGATCGGTATAGCTATCAGACAAATCAAGAGCGGCAAGACAGCAGGACCAGACGACATTTCAGCAGAGCCACTGAAAACAGATGCCCTACATCCTCTTCCCTAAGGTTCGGGAGGAAGAACAGGTACTGACAGAGTGGAATGAAGGACACTTGATCAAAATACAAAAAAAGGCGATTTCAGCAAGTGTGATAAGTACAGAGGCATGACTCTTCTCTCAATAACAGAAAAAGTCTTCAACAGGGTATTGTTAAACAGAATGAAGGTCTCCTCAGACGCCAAACTTCAAGACCAACAGACTGGATTACGTAACGATCGATCGTGTAATGACCGAATTACAACATCATGGATCATTGTGAGACAATCAGTTGGATGAAATTCATCACTCTACATCAACTTCATTGACTACGAGAAAGCATTTGATAGCATGAACAGGACAATACTATGGAGCTTTCTTCCATACTGCGGCGTGCCTCAGAACATGGTCAACATCATACGGAATTCTCATGATCGATTAAATTGCAAAGTCGTGCTTGGTGGACAGCTCACAGACTCGTTCGATGTAAATATCGGTGTCAGGCAAGCTTGCTTACTCTCACCCTTTCTCTCTCACCTAATGATTGACTGCATCATGGAGACGTCGACATCTTGGGGATGGGGGGAGCATGCGATACAATGGACATCGAGGATGCAACTAGACGATCTAGATTTCGCAGATGATCTAGCTCTTCTATCACACACGCAGCAACAAATGCAGAAGAACTCGACCAGTGTAGCAGCAGCCTCATCAGCAGTCAGTCTCAACATACACAAAGAATAAAGCAGGATTTTCCGATACAACACAACATGCAACGATTGAGTCACACTTGACGGAGAAGATTTGGATGGTGTAAAAATCTCAACATATCTAGGCAGCATCAATGATGAACATGGTGGATCTGATGCAGCTGTGAATGTGTGGATCGGCAAAGCAAGAACAGCTTTTCTACAATTGAAGTACTTCTGAAACACAAAACAACTATCTGTCAACCACCATCAAAGTCATAATTTTCAACACAAGTGTCAAGACAGTTTGTTCTATTGTATGGGTCAAGAACTTGGAGAAATTCGAAAGCCATCATCCAGAAGATGCAAGTGTTTATTATTAGCTGTCTACGCAAAATACTTCGGATCCGTTGGTCAGACACTATCAGTAACAACGTACTGTGTAAGCGAACAGATGAGATTCCAAAGGAGGAAGAAATCAGGAAGTAGAGCTGGAAGTGGGTGGGGTGCATATTAGGGAAAGCATCCAACTGTGTCACAAGGCAAGCCCTCACATGAGATCCTCGTAGCCAAAGGAGGAGAGGAATACGAAAGAACACATGACACTGAGACATGGAGACAGATTTGCGAAGAATGAACAACAATTGGATAGAACTAGAAAGGAATGCCCAGGACAGCGTGGGTTGGAGAATGCTGGTCGGTTGGCGTTTGCTCCATTGTGAGTAACAGGCGTAAGTAAGTAAGTAAGTAGGTAAATGTCTTCAGAGATTAGTGTTGTTCTCCTTAAGATTCCAAAAAAATACGGTCTTTCATACCTACATATCAAGAGAAAATCAGAAAGATCACAAGATGTTATAAGCCTGGAAATTCGTTCAGATGCATTAGTGAGTGACCTTTTGTAAGTGGATTATTCTTCTCATTGGATTATAGAATACAACAGAAATTATAAAATGATATGCAGTAGATTACTGTTTCAGTAACGTTTCCCTTTTTACAGTACGCCACTTGTTTGATACTGTTCAGATAAGTTCAGAGGCGAAAATGATAAATTTGTTCTGGAATACCATAAATGATCAATGGTTCACTAATCCGTCCCGAAAATATCAACAGAAAGAAATTCAAAGTCCTAATAATAATTACGACCTGGTTTTTGTAACCTAATGAATGATACTTTCACGTTTGAAGTGGTAACCAATTGGCCTAATACAAATACAGTATAAGTACATCCAGATGACAGTTTTCAGATATAATAGATTGAAAACACAGAATCGAACTTCACTTTTTTATCAAATACACCTGAAGTTATCATTGGGATTTTTGACCCGTTTGTTTTATTATGGATAGGTTTCAATTATGTGTTTCACGGGAATATCATATGAGAATGAGGACACGCTGTAGTTTGTATTTTAAAATAAAAAAGAAATAATTTGTTTT